AAATAATGTGTTTCACATACCTTAGTTAATCTTAAAAATAATTTGGTGATTTTCAGTAAAAGTAATAAAAATATAATAAAGCATTCATCTAGCTGAGAAAGAAGAACTAATTAATGAATTTTATTGGGGAATAATTATAGTTGGAATGTCAGAGTAAATAAGTGCATTGTGGATTCCCCCAATGCTCAAATATCTCAACTGAAAGAGTGCTGGGTGAATTTCAAAAGGCAGTATGAATCATTTGTACTTGGCTCACCTAGCTGATATTCCAGCCATGAATTTTCTTTTTCTGAAGGTAAGGAATCAGTTAAAAATTATGTCATGATTAAACAGGGTTTTAATATTCTGGGAATCTGGTTCAACAGCTATGAACCTGCCTGAATCTTCCAGGTCAGTTCTTCTCTAACTTTAGTATACATACACAATGCAGAGTGTGATTTAGTAACATGTTGTGGAGGGCTCTAAGATTCTGTGTTAACCAACAAGATCTAAAGTCAGGATTTTGCTTCTGATCCACTGACTATGTGGAAGAAACAAAGTCTTGAGCCTGTTTCTCAGTTTCAGCTAAAATAATGAAATATTTTAATTAATAACTTACTGTTTAAGGTATAAGACACATTAAGTCTTATACAACATCACAACATTCATTTTTCTCTTAGTCTAGGGACTGTTCCTTAGTGTGCATAGTCAAGGCTCAAGAGAATTTCTTTTCTCTTTATACCATATTATATTCACCAAATGATGCTTAAAAAAACCTAATGATCTGAACGTAAGCTATTTGATAGAGATTCCTTTCAATCTGTTTAAAATGTACATACTTCCCATAACAAACAATCATACATGTGATACATCCTAAAAGTATAGTCAGTCAAGTAAATAGGATAGTATTGTTCCCTGGGTTTGTTTCAGTTAATCACCTGAAGTCTCAGACTTAAATACAGAGATAGGTTAGGAAAATATTTGGCATATGTTGTTTGAAAACGACTTTTACCTTAATCACCGTATTTTTCAACTGTCAACAGTATTGGTATTGTTCTTGAAATGGTCTTAAAGTACTCAGGAATATATCCCAGAATCCTGAGCACTCCTAGATGTCCTGGGTTCACTTTGATCAATTAATGTGTGTTAGAATAATCTGGAAATCTTTCATTATCTTCTGGGTCTGGTCAATTATGAAACACTATATACTACCTCTTAATTAGTGTAGAAATGTTTTTATTCCTGTATTTTAAAACAGTAACACAAACCTACTGGGGTGGGGGCTGTCACACAGGCGCAAGCACAGTCCATGCTGGGCCAGACGCACAGGATGCTGGGAACGATGTTGACTACAGGCACGCTGGTGCGTCAAGAGCACGCCGGGCATGTGGGGGGGAGGGGCACGCACGCGCATCCGGGGCACACAGGCGCATTGGGGGCACGTGGTTGCGTCGGGGGCACACAGACGTATTGACGGTTGGAGGCAGCCGCCATCATGGACGTGTTTTTGATGGTTCGCCGCCACAAGACCACCATGTTCATCAACGCCAAGGAGTCGAGCACCGTCCTGGAGCTGAAGCTTATGATCGAGGGCATCCTTCAGCATCCGCCTGAGGAGCAGCGCCTCTACAAGGACGGCCAGCTCCTGGACGACGACAACATGACGCTCCTCGAGTGCGGCTTCACCAGCGAGACGGCCACTCCGCATGACCCGGCCACGGTGGGGCTGGCCTTGTGG